CTCCATTTTTCCGTATGCTTTAAACAGAGTTCTGGGCCAGCAATTTAATTTAAACAAGTTGTAGGTCTCAAAAGTGTCCATTATTGTTATAGGGAGTTATTTTTATTATAGTAATTTTTTAAAATTGTTTTCTTATACGAAACAAGGTTTGAAAGTTGTGATATTGGGGTTTTGAGGTTTAGGCAGCATGTAGAAGACATTTTTTACAGTTTCTGGAATTGTACTTTACAGCGCTGGAACGGTCGATTACAAAAGCTTGCTTGTAAAATGAACCGCCCAGCGAGTGGCTAACTTGACTGAGCTTTGTTTCGGAAAGAAGAGCAAAACCTAGTTTTATGCAAGAAGGAAAAAAGGATGACTTGCCAAATAATGTGTAAATTACGGTCGATTTCAAATTTAGCCTTTTATTTTGTCAATTTAAAGACCTTGGGCCAGTTGCTTAAACGAAGTCTAGTTAGTTAGACCTAAGTGTAGAACAGTCGTTCAACATCAGCTTTCGTTTGTCAGATTTAAGTAGACGTGCATTTTCTAGTCCGTTCTGCGAGCCTTATTTGACACCCTTAACGGTTGGCTACACATATTTTGTTTATCAAGGTTCGCCGATGTGAAAATAGTTTAGAATACAATCTCGATAAGCAGTCGCTAAACTCCGTTTTTGTAACCGGCCTGATAGGTTTAATCGAAGGGGAAAATGGTGTGCAGTTTCCGTAGACTCGTGAGATAGACTTAACTTTTTAAAATAACTGCTATGTGAAGCGATCGACAATGGTAGTTTTGAATGCTCTGGGTTTTTATATGGTCAAAACGACGCTTTTTGCAATTCGCCGCTTTAGAAACGCCGAAAAGGAAACTGGAGCTGAAAGGCGTCCCGTAATTGTTTCCGGGATCGTCAGTGGAGACACGCCGGTCAGCTATTGGTTAATTTTGTCCCCTGTCCCTGTCCCTAGTAACAGTTTCGTAAGTCTTTGTGAAAGTTAACTGGGCTCAGTTTTTCTAGTCGGTTCTAAAGTGGCGAATGCTCTGGCAAGAGGAAGAGGCTACAGATTTTCCGACGTCGAAACATCGTGACTTTTCAGCGGTAACTTCTATCACAGAATCTATATCTAAGAAATTAAACATCAAGAAAAGGATATTAGGTAGTGATTCTACCCATAGCGGCTTTTGAGTGACCTTTTGCCCGTCACAAGTGTAAATAGCGCCAAAGTTTATTTTTATATACTTATAAGGGTAATAGTTCATTATGCAGGCTGATTATGGGAGCGGGCTAAATGTAAATACTAGTAGAAGAAGTCTCCAAAGCACCAACGACATTAAATTTGTTTATTATTTGTATTTACTAAGTTGATATTGAAGTCTCTCCATGTATCTTGATCCAAGACGGTCTTGGATTCTTGATTCCAAACTGTGGATTCCGGATTTCAATTGTTAAACACGGTTCAGACGCCGAACTTTTTATGAGCCGAACCTAATACATTGAATTAAAACTGTGAAATGTTTGAACCCAGGAGTCATTTCAAAAGTAGGTTGAGTTTGATCGTCCCGGTGAACGTAGTCCTGAATAGGACTGTTTTCGTTGACAGTGACTGACGTTTCGACAACCTGACTACCGCACAGGTTGTCGAAACGTCGAATATGAACTTAACATCGATCGATCGATGGAGGTAAGCATGTTTTAGCCATGTTTTTAAACTAGGAATAATTTTGAATGAATAATAAAAGAATTATTGAATTCGGCTTTCGTATCATATGAAGAGCCTCGGCCTACGGCCTCGACGGATAACACCCTCCTCGATGTCCATAATTCTTCAAAAGATACTCAGCCTCATTCATTAATTGTTAAATAACGTATTTTGTAAGTTATTTGACCGAAATGAGCATTTTTCTCCTTTTGAATTTAGTTCGGCTGGAATTAAGATCGGCGTCTGAACCGGGCCTTAGCAGAATTCCAGATTTTCTGTAAGTGGAACTTGGATTCCGGATTTTAAAGCCAAAAGTCGTTTACCTTTCACAAAAAGCTCCTTGAGAATCCCGTCGGGAAGTGAATGGAACGCGACTTTTGGATTCGTTCCAGCGGAAAATTTCCGGGTGCAACGGAACATCTGAAAAGGTTGATCTGTTTTACTGGACGGAATGTTCCTAACGAACATTACTTTCATGACTACAAACTTCTACAGTATAACCACAACATAACTAACTGAGCCAAATGTTGGCAACTTTTAAATATTAAATGTAGGTACGTTTCGGCTTGCTGGCCATGACAGTGAGAAACGCACTTCCTAGTGATCGACCGTAAAATCCTCTCTCCCTAGCGGATTGGGGGAGGGGGGGGGCTTATTTATTTCAAACACATTTGGGAGGGTGGGGTGGGTATAATAGAGACAGGCCCGGGGTGAGTGAGGGGCTTATTTAATTTACCAAGGATGGTGGTGTCAGTTCTCTAAAAAGGACTAGAACGCGGAGTGGAAAAGCACAAGTAAAAGAAGTTGGAGGTCATGCAGCTCAGGTTCAAACTTCCAGCTGGTGAAAAAACCATCCTGGATCAATCCACACGAAGTTATGGAGTGTTTTCACATGACGTCACGGCGGCCATATTGGTGTTCCAAAACAATGAAACGGCTGCCATGTTGGTGTCCCAAACCAATCCTGTGGGAGTTGAACTCTTTTCTTATGCAAACGCTTTCTTTTGTTCCAATAAATTTGCACAGATCCTGGCCACGTGAGTGAAAACACTCTATACAGAACCCCTGACAGTCGTGATTGATCAATAGTACAGTCTATCATTTATGAGTGAACAATAACTGGAGGGGGCTTAAAGGAGAGGGGGTTTTATTAACTTTCTTCTACTGAAAAAGGGGTAGGGGCTAATTAGAGAGAGGGGACTTAATAGAAGATTACGGCAAACTAATTTCCTGTTGATCACCAAAGTGGAATAATCAAACCTGGTCAAGTAAACCAAAGACAGCTTAACCCTTTAAGCCCTAAGAGTGATCAACATCAAATTTGACCTTGTAATATCGATGCTTTGTTAAACAGTGGTCATGAGAATTACTGACATGATCACACAAGATGAATTTGCTTTATAAATTATCAATTTCTCCCCACTACTTCTGTCGGAAATGAATAGGGGCAACAAATGATAATTCAAATTTTGATCTTAGGGTTTTAAATTAGAGTTAGCAACAAAACTTACGATGCTCCATAACAATCAAGGTCAGTTATAAACCCTAAACGTGTCCACTTCAATGACTGACACTCAAATTTATTAAATGACTTTTAAGGTAATAAAAGTCAAAAACCTGTCGGTACAAATACGTATTTTGTTCCTTCCCATCACTCTGCACGCGTGTTCCACGCTCGTACCCCATCATTCTCGCGTTTCTCGCTTGCCAAAGTCTGTGAAGGAAGCAGTTTGCACATGTATAACCTATTCGCTCCTGGAAGTTTTGCCAAAGTAAATACTGTTTTTTAGACATATTTAATATGTCTACATTATTATTTTTGCTGATCAGGTCTTTATAGATCCTACGTTCTTCGGCATATTCATTTGCGGTCCTTTGCAGTCCCTTGTAGTTAATGTTTGTACTGTTTTTTAATCGATCTCCTTACGTTCAAGTCTACAGTTCCTGTCTCGTACCCAGGCGCGTTCTAGCGGATGCGAGAACGACTGGGATTTTGGTTCCGCACTGGGTATCATGGGAAAGGCGAAGAGAAAAACGCGCCATGCAGATTATGATTTCACTGATGGCGGAAAGTAATTTATGCAAAACTAGAGGGAAAGAAAAAATCATTTAGAGTGTTTTTTAGCGAAGGGAAAGTTCACCATCTCGTCCTGAAGGACAAAATCCCCTGTCCACACAGTTCTTGCGAAAAGGACTCACACTTTTTCGAAAGAAATGGCATTTCTTAGCATTTTCGTTGGTACACAAATGTACGTTCATGGATGTCAACTTGCAAGAGAGCTTGGTTCTTAGAAGAAGGCTTCATGCCAAAGAAACCATTGATATTCTTAATGAATTTTTTAAAAGTAGAAGCGAAAAGGTAAGACAATTCTTGTGCTTGTGCCACATTATTTCTCTTCAAAATAGTGCAACGGGAACGGTTTACAGCCCAAATCCAGAAATCGGATTTCTCCGGGACAGAAATCGAACCAAATCTGCGAGGCGTCTCATTTTTCTCGTTCATCCTTCCCAGCGTTCTTTGCGTCCACGCTAAACGTTCCCATGGTCCATTGCGCGATACTCCTTGATGGCTCGTGCAGTCGCGTTTCCCGTTTTCCACACTTGATACGCCTAGAAACGAGGCAGCTACAGTTCACTTACCAATCAGCAAACGAAGGCAGTCGTAATGAACCTCGAATCAAATTCGTCGTTAAATGGAGAGGAAAAGTCGTTTCGTCACGTTGCCATGGTAGCAAAATTTCTAGGTGACAACAACCTAAAATGTTACTTAAAAAACGAATGGGCCTTTTGCAATTGTTGGTCACGTTATCAACTTTCTGTAAACACGAAAAAATTTTGCTTTTGGTGTGTAAAAAGGAGATTTGAGCCAAGTAATGTTTAATTAAGGAAATATTTCACGACAGTTTGAAAATTTAGAAATTTACAAAGATTTGTATGGAAAACCATCCATGCGTGATCCTTCTAAATTTCAGCGGCCGTTGGAATCGCTACTTTGAGATATAAGGCTGAAAATTTACAGGTTACCTAATTTCAATATGTTCTTTCAGCTTGTGCTAACAAAGTTTTTCAAAAGCGAACTGATTTCGCGTTTTCAGAAAGTTGATCACGTGATCAACTAATGCAAAAGGCCTATTCGTACTGTTTCAAACCTCATCAGTATTTGTCAAATGTTGGCAAAATTTTCAGGGATTGAATCCGAGAGGACCATATCTAAGTTACGAAAAATAAAATATTCCTGTTGTGTCCACCATCTCCATAAAGCGGGTGCTGTGCCATGTCGTAGTCGTGCAGAAACTTACAAAAAGCGTGATTGCACGTGCAAAATTGTTGTTTTGCAAATATAAACCAATTGCCCTTTTGCCGTTCTCGTGTCCGTCGCCGTCGTCGTTGCTTAAGCCCCCTATTGTTGTGATCCAGAAATTTTGCTACTATGATAACGTTACGTCACACTTCCCCTCTCTATATCGCGGAAAAAATGCTTCGAAGCTAGGATCTGAACTATCCAACTGTTTTTAATCACAGTAAAGTGTATACGTGTATAAGGGTTACCTCTATTGCAATGCAAGCTAAAAAACATCTAAAAGCACGCTTCAGAACTCACAAGGATTAAACAACGTTTATGCTAGCGTTGCGCCGTGACGCTAATCTGCAAGTTACCGAGAAGTTGCTGAATAGAAAAAGGGACATCAGAGTTTGACTCGTTTTGAATACGAGGTTAAGCCTGCACTCTAAGGGATGTTGCGGTGTTTTTAGGAAAGCCCTATTTTTATTGGCCATTGTTAAGTGTGTCGAATTGCATTGTGGGACTATTTTGTGTGCGAATTTGGACCTAGTTTTCTGCCCAACCACGTGACAGCCAATTAAAGAAACGACAGCGTCCCTAAAACATTCCCATAGTGCAATTCGACCCAGTGTCACGCATTCCCTCAAAATGACCAACATGATGATGTGAATGAATGAATCCTTATTACCTGTTCTTTCAAAACTATGTTAGCGTATCGCTTTAAATCAACTTATGCCCTACTTGGTAGAGAACGATCGTCTCTCCGCCCATCAAAGTGGTAATAAAAAGTGGCATTCCACCGAAACTTCACTGATCTACACTTCTGATCGCATTCTCACCGCAATTGACCAAAAGAAAACATAAGCTGCAGTTCTCCTTGATATGAGCAAAGCATTCGACAGTGTCAACCATGATATTCTGCTTAAAAAATTACAAGATATTGGCTTGTCACCCTCTGCCATCCTGTGGTTCAGGAGCTACTGGTCAAACAGGTACCAAGCTGTGCGTATAAATACTGCTCTTTCCGAACCCCTGCTAATGAGGTACGGTGTTCCCCAAAGAAGCATCCTCGGTCCTTTGCTCTTCACGGCTTACACCAATGACTTGCAATCAATCCCACAACACTGTTCCACGGACTGCTACGTTGATGACACTAAATTGCTTGTCATTCCAAGTGCAGGACTGTGAACCGACTATGGCCGCGATGAACGATGATCTTATTAAATTACGTAATTGGTGTTTTAATAATAGGCTACTCCTGAAACCGGACAAGACTAAACTGATTGTATATGGAAGTCGGCAAATGATATCGAAACTTCAGCATTTTCGCCTTACCCTCTTGGGTAAAGAACTTTTACCCGTCGACTCTGTTAAGGACCTGGGTGTAGTGTTTGATAGTAAACTCTCATTCGACGACCACATAATTAAAATAGCATCATCTTGTATGTCTGCCCTAGGGCAAATTAGCCGAGTTAAACATATATTTAGAAAAGACATATTTGTTACAATAATTAATTCTCTTATGTTTAGTATGTTGTATTACTGCTCGTCCGTCTGGTCGAATACTTCTGCCGGCAATATACGCAAACTACAAGGAGTACAGAATTTCGCTGCTCGCATAGTTTCTGGGACAAGGAAGTTTGATCACGTATCTCCAGCCCTAAAAGACCTGAGATGGATACCAGTTAAGTCCCACCTGTATCTAAGAGACGCCATCTTGGCCTTTAAATCTATGAGAGGTCAGGTACCAAACTACCTCAGTTCAAATTTTATCTCCAGAGGGAATATCAGTGGTCGGACGTCCAGATCATCTTCCCAGCTTAATATACCGCTTTTTAAAACCAAGTCGGGACAGAGATCTTTTTATTACAGAACTGTAACATTGTAGAATGCTTTAAAACCCCATTTTAAATTAAGTGAATCTCTTATCATTTTTAAACGTAAAATGAAAGCCTTCCTTTTCAATCAATGTAATGTCATAAATTTATATGTAAATAGTTTCTTAATAGTTTATTGATAATTAATTTGTGATACTTTTTTTTTTTCTTTTCTTGATTACCTGTACTATTAATAACATGTATTAATACTTGTCTCTGAAAAGCCCCCGTGGGGAGTTGACAATGAAATTTGTATTGTATTGTATTGTAATGACTAAGTTACATAAAAAAGTTTCCCCTTTGTCTTCAGGATGTTTTATTTTGGATCAAAGATAAACATGAGGTAGAGAAAGTGGATTTGTACTTACAGATCAAAGAGAAGCTGGTGAGCGTCTTTGCTTTATTTTCCTTACCCAAACTGTCTTTCTTGGGTACCCTGACGCGCTCCATTGTATCTTAGGCCTGGTTCAAAAATCGAACTTTTCACGTACCGAACTTAATACCTATTTGAGTCGACCCAAATGATGTAAGTTGGAAGCATGATTCAGACGTCGAACTTAATTGGTCGGACTAAATTCATTTTCATGATGAACAATAGTCTACGATGCTAACCAGTCAAAATAAATTCAGGTAATCTCTGCATGTGATTTAACACATTAAAAATTTTTCACAATCAAAGATTCCCATGTGGGCCACTCGAACTTATAATGGGTCGATCCAAATTAGATATGTCGGACTTGATTGATTCAGACTTCGATCTTTTGAATTTTTCATGTACTTAATTGAGGGGATTAGGTTCGGTACATGAGAAGGTCGACGTTTGAACTGGGTCTTACACAGGATAAGAATTTTCACTATGAAGCAACCATGAGGAAAATAAATGGTGTCATTTTATTTTCATCAACATAACCTGGTTTTAGTAATTGAGCACCGTTAAACTTGTTCCAAGTTAGTACTAGACAGATCTCCCTGCTCCACTTTGTGTCTTTCCTCTAGCGTTTTGCTGCTGGCTTTATTTTACACTTTAAAACGAAAAAAAAAATCAACCTGGAGTTAACTAGTCACCTCTAATTAAACTTAAGACCAGGCTATCGGTGCCCCCCGAACGTCGCAAAGAGGTAGTATTTCTTTTTTGTGCTCGAGTACGTACTTGTGGACTGCGGCCTTAATTTTCTTTTCTATCTGAAGTTTCTCATATCCGCTAAACTTCTCCTTTGTTGTGAATCTTTTAAAGATAAGTGTTGGAATTACTCCACTAATAAACACGAGAAAGGTCGATACTATTACTGATATGTCCTCCACTGTTTCAAAAATCAATACAGTCAAAAAAAATAAATATAAAAATAATAGGATTAGAGCCATATCTCGTACCATGAAGACGATTTCAGTTTCCAAGGGAAGAATTTGATTTTCATCTGATTCGTCGTTACCACCAACAACTTTCCAGAATAGTTCTTTTGGAATAGTACCATCGTGATTACTGCTGCATTTTATACATATTCCATTTGAAATAGTACCATCAGTTCTGTTGCTTATCATCCAGAACGCAAGCGCCGTTTCTTCTTTCCAGTGCTCTAAGATCATATCTTTGACTTCTTTGTATCTGTTCTGTAAGTTTAAATAACATAAATTTATATTCCCTAAAACTACCAGGATAAAAACTACATAAGGAGTCAAGTGCTCGACGTTTAGTGCTACTCCCATTATTGTGAACAAGAAAGTCTTAATGATGCAGGCTACCGATGTTGTAGAAACATACCATAAGAAATACATAAACGTAAAGCAAGTTACCGGAATAGAAACACCCACGGTTAATAACCGGACTAGTAGGTTACATCGATTTTTCTTTTTAGCAGAGTCATAAATGTCCTGCCCTTTTCTTATGACAAACAAGAGCAAAGAAAAACTTGGCGTTAACAAGAAAAGTAGAAGTCCGAATTGGACTAGAAAAATCAATATAAAAGCTATCCCTAACGCTGCAAAAACAAGGAATCTAGGTAAAATAGAAAACATAACGCAGAAGGAGCGAAGAGCCCGTTTTTTCCTTGATTTTTCTATTTTGTGTCTCAAAGTTAGTTTCATTAAGCATTTCTGTAGTAAATTCATGAACTGCTCATGCATGGAAAAGGTTAAAGCGCAAACCTGCTGAGGTTGCATCTTTAAGTTCTGAACGATTTCTTCACCTAAAGAACTTAATGAATCCTCTGAATCGCTACAGTGAACTCCAGTATTGGCCGCCTTTCCCACCCTTTTTTGAAAAAGCAAGTCCTCTGGTCTGATACATATAAGAATCAGAAACAATACAACGCAGACAGTGGCATTAAGTGCGGTATTCTCGACTTGCCATACTATATTTTGCCAACTGTCACCTGCAATGCACCGAGGAGCAGCGAAGAATCTTATCCGTTCTAATAATTCTGGGATGTTGTAGTCAAATTTTCGATGGACCTCTTGATAAAACTCTAACTCATAAAAGAAGATCACTGCAAGCTTGATGTGCAGGACAAAAGGAAACACAACAAAAAACAAAAGTAATAATCTGATGTTGAAATTAATTTGAACAAGTGGAATTTTGCTAAGTAGAGCGCAAATAGTTATTGGACTCATGTCGTCTACCGGAATTTTAAATTCAAACTCATTTTCAGCGTCAAGAAGAGCTTTGCATCTACTGTCGAATTCTTCCAAACTGACTGAATCGTTCTCTTGATTGTTGTTCTGTCCGTATCCGCTATCCAATTCATTTTGGCTGTCGTCATTCTCCTCAAGGTCTATCAGCTCAGTCCCATCTTGTTGGTTTATGGGTGTCACTTGTCTGTACCCGCTGTCTAATTCATTTTGGCTGTCGTCATTTTCTTCAGGGTCTATCAGCACAGTCCCATCTTGTTGGTTTATGGGTGTCACTTGTCTGTACCCGCTGTCTAATTCATTTTGGCTGTCGTCATTTTCTTCAGGGTCTCTCAGCACAGTCCTATCTTGTAGGTTTATGGGTGTCACTTGATTGTCAGTATCGTCCTCTAATTCCACCGTTTGTTGGATCTCAGCCGTCTCCCTGACGCTTGACTTTTCTTTATTACATTCATGCTGAAGGTTAAAGATCCAGTCCGGTAGTAAGAGAGGAATTGCTGGGCCGTAAAGTACAAGAATTAATTGAAGGAAGAAAGATATGCTGTAAAACAGCTTGACGAACCAGCCATTTTTTGGAGCATTACCGCACCGATAGACCGTATCGTTTTTGTCTGTGTTTTCCTGTGCGCTGCAGCACAGCGTCTCCCATCCTTCTCTGGAGAAACGTTTCTTATGAAATGTACACACACAATCTTCTGATGGCAAGCGGTTACCAGGGCTCAAGCTTGTGAAGTTGCCTAACAACATCTCCCCGACGACATTGTCCTGGCAAGATGCGTTCAGACTAGATAGACATCCAGTCGGTTGTTCCTCGAGTTGCACCGTCATGTACCTTTTTTGACGTCTTAAAAGGCCTAGCGAATAAATATCGTGCGCGTCGTCCGTCATGAGCAGCATTGGCTCTCGTATTGTCTTCGCCCAAATCCACCATTTGGCCAAAAACCTTTCACTTGATTCCAGCGGATGGACGCTATTGTTACCGATTTCTAAATTGAAGTAGACAAGCCTTACGCCCTCTTCTGAAGCCAGCCGTTGAAATTTGACGTGAGGGTTTTGTCCAACTAGAACAAGCTTACACTGGCCCACGCCACAGGGCTTTTGAACAGCAGAGGTCGCCGATAAACAAACTGCAAAGAGAAAAACAGTGTAGATAGCCATGTTCTGCGAGTATTTTCCTTAACTGTCCAGTGTACTCAAAGTGCTTTATCAGCAGAAAATGTGTTTTTTAGGAATGCTTGTTATCAGCAAACCTTTCAATTAAGCATGGAAACGCCCTCTGGCAATATTTCACCAATTTTAATTTTCCACTTTTTTCTCTGTGATTGCTGTTTTGCCAGAATAAGTAATGTCCCCTTAAGTAAACCAAACAAAAACCAGGGAAAACATTTCTTGTTAATCCCAGACACATTCCAGGCCGTTTGGTGCAGTTTTATGTCCTAGTGAGCTTATTTTCACTGCTATATTAAAAACTTCAAGTTTGTTTAGCGCATTTTCAATCGTTGCCTATCTCGTAAATCTTGCGGTCAACAAAATTGGAATCACGTGCATTCTCTTGTTCGAGGGCTTAAAGTTCTTTATGTGCGTGTCATTTCACGGTCTGAAAAAGTGGCATTTCTAAGGCAATCTTATTCCGCCTCTCTTTTGTAAATCACCTAAGCGTTGAGTAGCATTTGAATTATCCGAAGAGTATTAGGTTTTGTTCATTATTGTTGTCGGGTTGTCAGGTCTCGATACTTCGAAAGAATAATTTAGATAAAATTATCATAACAAATTTACCTTTTGACCATCAAAGCGGTTTCGCAAAATTTCTGCTGCTGTTAAGGTAGCTCAGTCGGGTTTTTCAATGCGTATATCCCCGGAAAGTATAGCAACTCAAAAACGCCAAGGATCAGGTGGTACAAACAAGTACATCAAAGCTCAGGCTAGCTCAAGCGCTTAATAAATAGGCTTTAATGGAGAGTTAAGGCAACGAGGATAGCGCCAACGGTAGAAACTTCACTAGTGAAGTATTTTCACGCTCTTTCAAACTTGCTAATGCTAATGACTTCCTCACGCTATATGTCGGTAAAATAAAATTTGCCCTAGAGTTGAATTGTTAGCCCCATCTAAATTTAAAAAGAGATAGGAAAATTCGTCGTTCGTGGACGGAATATTAATGTTCGAAATGTGTTATGCATGTGCAGAGCAGTTGATCATGCAGGCGATGGGATTTTTCCCTTTCTTTGTTTAGATCAAATTCCCGGGATTAAATTACGTCAGCAAAAGGGGAAGTTAGAAGTGATTACTTCCTTTGTGGTTTATGTTCGTATTATGGTTTATAGAAAAATCTAATGAGCTAATTTTATGTAAACTGAGCAAAAGTGAAATTTTAAGGTTGTATTCAATCGTTCATGTTGCCATGGAAATAACGAAAACTTCAAATCTTTCATCAGTATATTTTTCACTTGCCAAGTTTCAGCTTGTGAGCTGTAACCTTTCAAGTATTTGTTGCGATAAATAAATGTAGTAAGCTAAACCACTGAAACAATGTCTGACAACCATTTAAACTCAAACATTAACCAACACGCCATCTCGGGTAACCAAGCTAGTTATACGCATGCGTTGACGCCTGTGGAAAAAGCAATGGAGGCCAAAAAGTTTGTTGAATAATCAATAAATAAATGACAACTTTGTGCTGCAAAACTAAACAAAAGTGTAAATTATACTAGCAGTTTGGTATTTTTAAAAGACCCCGTAGAAGTAGGGCCGTGCATTCCGAAATATTGGTAACAAAAAGCAATAGGCTCTTGCAAAAAGATATTATATTCCCGATCGTAAAATCAGCACCCTTGATGCACTATGATCTCGGTGACCCGAAACCGACTGTGCTTTTTTGACATTATCGCAGTCGTCATCGCCGTTTCGTAAACTCCTTATTGCTTGAAAAAAAAATCCATTTAGTTCACAGCGCTCTTATTTGGTGTCCGGGGGGAGGGGGGGGGGGTACTCGATATATCCTTGGCTGGGGATGTGCGACTCGGTCCCTTATACCCTGACCCTGTTTAAGACAAAAATCGCTGATTTTCCTACCCTGTTTAAGACATAATTCCTATTTTTGATACCCAGTTTAAGACATTCGTAGAACATAAGCGCAGGCTGTTTATCGTCTAAGAACAGGGTTATCGGCTCCTGTCTAAGAAAAGATACCCTGTTTAAGACAAAAATTGATAAAATCGATACCCTGTTTAAGACAAAAATCCCGAAAAACATACTATGGCTGGCCGCACGTCCCCATTAAGCCCTTATAAGGGAGTACCCCCCCCCCCGGGTTTGGTGTGCTCTTTGGGCCAGTGATAGACTACTTTTGTCATTGTAAATAAAAACATTTCCACACGTCCCGGTAACTCATTTCTAATGGCCGCTTTTCCTTTGTCTTAGTGAACTTTAAAAGCGCTATTCGACGTGTCGTGGGTACCTTTCTATAGGCCAGTTTCTAAGTTATCAAATTAACAAACAGATGCCATGTTGTCGTGCGTCTGTTCAGTAATAGATCACAGATGACGTCAAAATGTGAGTGGTTAAACAACGAGTGTGTCACTGACGTTTTTGCCTATAATCAAAAAATTCTCAAAAATTCATCGTTCCGAGAACTTCAGGATAAGTGATTTATTTTTAAAATCGAATGACATTTTGACGAGTTTTTTGAAGGGAAAGTACTTACGTATAATAAAAACAAAACATTTAGCTGTAATCCCCTCTTAATCGAGGGACGGCTATTATTCGAGGAAATACGGTATTTCGTCTACTAGTTTTAGGTCTCACAGAGGCATCCATCCTTCAAATTTGAGCTCCTTCAGAAACACAATGTTTGTTTTAAGCTCGACAGAGAGACACCCTAGCACCTTTCCTGGCACCTTACCCAAAGAGAATAGCATCTCGAAAATTAAACTCGATGCAACCACCCTCCTTTACTAAAACTGGGTGGTACTGATTACTACTCTGGAGCCTAAAAGCTTACAAAGAAAGCCTCATGGCTAAGATTGGGCTCACAAAGATACCCGTCATTTTACAATCGGGTCCACGAAATACACATTCGCTGTACGCAACCCTTACGTTCAAAATATGCCATAATCATAGTTATCTATCGCAAGAACCATCCACCCCCGGCGTCCACCCTTTCCCCTCAACTGCTACCTGTACGCCGTAGCAAACATATCGAACGCACTCTCCTAAGCTCCGACTACTCCTAGTATCAGGGGCACCCACCGAGAATATAGTTCAAAACCACTTAAACGTAGCATTGTTAAACGTGTTTTAGTATTTAAACGGTGGATATGGCCATATTTTTATCCCCCATAAATTTTTTATCTGTTCGGATTTCCTAACTGAAAGTCTAGTGATCCGAAAACTATAGGGATTAAAACTTACCTGTTCGAAAATTTCAGCCAGAAAAAAAGCTCCCGAAAATTCTAGGTGACCTTTTTAGGGTAAAAATCCGTTGAAAATGGGCAATTTTATTATTTTTTTGATGTTCGAAAATCCTAGGAGAGGCAGGTAAGGAAGAAATTTTACCACAAATGTTCCGAAAATTTTAGATCTCAAATCGTCTTCCGAACAGATATTTTCCCGAAAATTGTCGTTGGGTGCCCCTGTAGTATGTAATTAAGGGGAAACCTCGTTTTAAACTGTGTATCATAACTGTCATAATGAAAAGGTTTTGAAGGCTAGTGATCAGCGTGATATCGTATGGTTCGTCTCAAGTGCTTGTTATTTGAGGAGACACTGGCCAGAGTGCTTCGGGCATGTAAAAAGAACATTTTGTTTTACTGGCGCAATAGATGTTCTACTGGGCGCAGTTGTTCGAAGGCCGATCAGCGCGTAACCCGGGTTTCTTTTTCTTTTGTTAAAAAAACATTTCTTGGATATTTTTTTCAGTTATTTTTAAGTGCGTCCAATCAGCAACTTGTTGGCAAAATGAAGCCGGGTCGCGAGTTCGATTCTCGCCCGGGGCATGAAAATTGTCTTTGTCCCGGGCGAGCATGGTTTCTCTTCCTTCCAAGTTGAAAATGTTCACTGGAAGTGTATGTGTGCTGCTCACTAGTGTATCATTAAAATTAATGAAAATAAAAATACAATTAATTTACACAACCACGAGGTCGCGAGAAAAAAACAAAAAACAAAATGGCGGGTGAAAGGTAAGTAACGCCGACTGATTTTATTTTTCTTTTCATGATCCGAGTTGATTTTTTTTATGATCCGTGTTGATCCGAGTCCAGTTTTATTGCATTTTTATTTTTTTATTCGATCCGAGTCGATCCGAGTTGATCCGGTCCGACTTTTGTACCTGCCTAGCTAAAACGTTCGTTTGTCCAGTGCCGAAAATACCACACGTCATGATGAAATGGTGCCGCCGAGCTTCACATCTCGGTAGATTTATTTTGTGGAATAACGGCCGCCTAGCTACACAACTCAGTAGATTTACTTTGTGGCACAACAGACGCTGAGCTTCACAACTCGCCGGCAAATTTACTTTGTGGCACAACGGACGCCGAGCTAAACAATCCGGTTTGATGCATGCACCAGGAGTAGCACGCATTTTCCAAAGAAAAATCCAAAGTAAAATTTTACTCAGGGTGTTAACTTTCAGCACACCTTTGAAAGATGAACGCTTTGGAAGATTCATTTAACACAGATCGATAGTAGACCTCCAGCAAACTCTTAAATAGCAGACCTCAGATGAATAGCAGACCTCAGATGAACGCCGAGGACACACGAATCACCAAGTGAGTTAACGCGTCAAAGTGAGGCAAAACGTAAGCAAGCGCCTCAAAGCGAGGCAAATGTGTGTCGACGACGAATGCAAGCTCAAAAAAACCTCCCTTATTAATTGCACAGGACACCCAATAATGTACAGAACACCCAACACAAATTAAGGGTTGCGTTCTCGTACCTCGAACCCAAAAATCGGGCTCAGAAAGATATCTGGGCAAGAACGCTCTTACAGCGGCTGTCGGTCTTGCTTGCTTGGAGATTAGATCGAGAAATGACGAGGCGATTAATTCTACACGAACAGGATTTACTCGCTAAAGGTTTTTTACTTCCTGCCTACTTTAATTTATCGTCGTCGATAATTTTTATTTGTTTCTGAATTGACTTAGTACGCGTGTTAGCGACGACCT